ACGGCTAACCAACAGGAGGAGAGCTAGTAACGTTAGCAGCACCGCTAACGGCTGACGAGGTTCCATTTAGTTTGATATGATGCGTTCAGGCTCCGTTTGATGAGAAACTTGAATAAATCCACTTGTTAGATATTAGAGATGAACATGTTTCACTTCCTAATTAGCTCAAAGCAGCTTATAATACATCATTAACCCTCTGAACCCTAAAAACCTGGAACAGCATGTTCCGTTTAAACAATCGCCAAAACTACACCGCTTATCAAAGCCAGGAACTGCACAAAACATTTCCATTATTGTCAAAAAATTAACTGACATCTAAGCTTCAAATTTCATCAAATACATTTTATTCTACAAGTCTCATTTAAAATCTCGCCCCAAATCAACCGTTTGAAGCGATCAAATCCTGTAAAAAACATTAAATTCTGAGCTCCTCAACGCAAGTATGAGACTATGATTGACGCGACTGACCAACAGTCACGTGACCAAGATTCGGTGAAACTTTGACGAAGTTTTTGTAAAATAGATTATCAAAGAAATTCCACTTGTTTCATTATAACTGTGTTATTCTGCACTAGAGTCGTGTTTGAGTTCTCTTTCTATAGAGATGCAGGATTTTTATATTACAGTGAAAAACGAGGCAACAAGAGAGAAAAGTGTGATAAGAGGAAAAAATAACCCAAAACTGCTTTGGGGTTCAGAGAGTAAAACAGGGCTGAAGCAAGCTTAACAAAGCAACTGTGTGTCGAACAATTGGGGAATATATCAGATAAGCCAAAGGCAAAGTTAGTACATACAAAAGTACTTTATAGATATTATTACACCCCGACAACTGCAGACTCAACACAATGCGCTAATTAAAGAGTTTATGTGAAATACGACACAGAATATTGTACTTTAATGAACATGTTATGAGAATGTCCCTCGCTTCCAATAAAATGTCTTTTTTCAGACCATAGACTGTATGAGTGGATGTAATTATTATACCTGAACAAACAGGCATGAGTCAGGTCAAAGGTCACCACTGACTGAACAGAACATGAGGCAGCAGCAAACACGATCACCTCCAGAGTTCCTAGAAGGCTCAGAAGGAGCTTTACACTTTAATTGCTGTTAAGATGGAAAATCAGACCAATTTCACCCTCAAGGCTCAAAGATGATAAGAACTGTGGAAGAAACCGATCTGTTCACTAATAACACACCAGAACCAGAACTAATGCATCGCTCACCCGCTGACATGATGTTAAGAAACAGTTACTTACACACATTTAACTCTCAGTATGTATATTTTTATGGATTAAAACACATCTAGTCATCAGTAGTTGTATTGATGTATTATATATTATATTATATATTATTATATATATTATAATTGATGTATTATGACGTGCTTGGAGCCGAGGTTAACGGCTCATAATTCATCTCTAATATCGAGCCAATCACAGCAAGCAGGTCATAAAACATCCGCTTCTGTTGACACGTCACGTCTTTCTGCAGCGACCTCCGTCTGAGGTCAACGCCGCCTCAGGACATGTTGGTGTGAACTCCAAAACAAGGTCAAAGGTCACGGGTTTGATTCGGTTACACGTCGGTCATTCTGTCGCCATGTCCTCGAAACAGTGACGAATAATGCAAGTAAAGAAGGTTTGTGTGTAAGATGTAAAGCTTAGAAAACACCTCGTTTATCTATTCAACAGTAAATCAATCTCAAACGCAGAAATGTAATCAATAGAAGTCATAAAGTGACAAACAATGTGTTTTTAACCACAATCCCAACAAAGAGGCCCAATACATCATGCCGGCCACTTCAGTGGTGTTTTGCATGTTGTTTCTACCTTTCCTCTCATTTCAGAGGGATGAATGATTAATAAATACATGAAAAAAAGAAAATTAAAAATACTTTTTGTTTCTCTGCAGTCGCTTGAAAGCTGACATCAATATTGCGACATAACGAGTGTTTGATTTCATGTGCAGGAGGAAGTTTGACTAAAGCCGATATGGCAGCAATACACTAAAAACTGAGGTTTTCACCAGATATGTACGTGGCAGCAGAGGTCTGTTCAAATATTCATTGATTTAGTTTTAGTCTGACCCTGTGCCCCCCTTAAACATTCATGTCCCATTAATGCATGTTACTAAAGGGTCTCTGAGCTTTCTCGTCTCACAGGTATCGGGGTTACACCCGGATCATAAACTCCAGCTGCCTGCTCGACTCCCACTGCTCCACTGCTGGGGGGGGGGGG